TATTATAAGACAAAATTTTTAGTTTGCTTATAAGCTAAAAATAAATAATTTTAAAAAAATTTTTTAACTAAAAAATTAATTTATAATTTCTTGATAAACTCTTTAAATATTGATTTTAAAAATACAGTTTCTAATACAATATTGTCGTTTAAATAAAGAATAACAACTTTTATTATTATACTTTTAGTGATTTACTAATAAAAATTAAGACTTGTCTTAAGAGTAATTTTTTTATATACAAAAATATATAAAATTTTAAAAAAACTAAAGAAGAAATTGCATAGTAAAAATTTTAATACAAAAATTTTAACCTTTTGTTATATTAAAGTTTTTTAATAATTTTAAAAAATTTCTTAACAAAGCTAATAAGACAAATCTCAAAATAAATGTCATGGCTGAAGCTTGAAATGGCTGATGCTGGAAATTTTAATTATTTTAATATGAAATTTACAAAAACTTTTTGAGCCTTTTGTTAGGAGGTTTTTTTTAGAGTTAGATTAGGGTTTAGTAGTAGTTTTAATAATAAAAAAGTATAAGTAGATTTTGGTAGGGTTTTTATTTTTAAATCAAGGTCTCTAATTTCCAGCTTCAGCCATTTCCAGCTTCAGCCATAACAATAAATATTTTACTTAGAAAATATATAGCTAAAATTAAATATTTAAAATTTTATTAAAACAATTTTGCAGACAAATTTGGCGCCAAAACAATTTAAAGAATACATTTTACTATTTTGAATTGGTATCCAAAAAAATGTGATTGGAATGTGAAAATGATGATGACTATTCTAATATTATCAAATTATATTACTTGTTGCTATTCTAAATTAAGTTATTTAATGTTACTAATTACGATATACTAAATTAGTTAATTTCTAATTATTATTATTTCCCATTACTACATTTTGAATTTTTTCTATTTATGACTGCAACATTCTAAATTAGTTATTTTTTATTATGACTTCTAACTATACTATCTATCTTTTTGTACTAATGTTTGTCTATTTAACTATTTTCAGATTTCTTGTGAATAATTTACAGATGTTATTTAATACATATTAGATATAGTAATATCATTATTTATTCATAATCGATCTTACTAGCAAATTCTTCTAGTTAGAATTAATTACTATTTTGATGTCTATATCAAACATGTAAAAAAAATTGATAGTTCCTTGCCAAATTCAGTTATACTTTCTTGTTATCATATACACACATTATTCAAACAGGCAACTGATCAAAATTATGTTCATTTGAATTCATATACTCTATGAGTATAATGATAATTGTCTTCCTGATTTGGTCAAAACAGAAATACTGGTATCAGCTTGTATCTTAGTTTGTACAACTTAGCAAGGCTGTGAACAGCGTATCCCTGCTTAGCATCTTTGATCTGTTGACTTTTTGTCAATTTGAATTAAATTAGCCAATTATTATACATCATTTAATTCTATTATATCATCTAATTTTAATGATTACAATCTTCTATAAAAAATTTTTGTCATTACCCAGCTTATAATTTCCTGTTTTTATAAATTCTATAACAGTTAAAAATTTCTCAAAAATAAAATCATAAGTTATTTAAATTACTGAGCTTAAACAAATAACAATTTTTTAAATATTATGTAATTTATAAAAACAGTATAAACACAATCTTCTGAACTATTTAGCTTGGGTTGTTAACTGTTTAATGTTAACCAGATTTGAAATTAATTATAAATCAAAAATATATTATTACCAGAACTAATTTAGTTTATATAATAAAATTGAACCAGTTTAGCATCCCAAAAATTGACTGCGTAAAAAATTAGTTCATATTTCTGGCTAAATTATGTTAGTCAAAATTATATTAGTGCCAACTGGATTAATAATTAATACAGATAAACAGTTAGATAATTTGAGGTGGTTCTAATCTCCACTATTTAGTGGCTATATATAGTATTAATAGTAGAATTACCGAATTATGGTATCTATTATAAAGTAGAATTAATTATGGCACAGAATCTAATTGCTATAAATATTATGTATGCTGCAATGCTATAATGCTATAATGCTGTAATACTGTAATATCATAATACTTTTGTATCTTTGTAGCATAATAATGTGATCTTATAATACTATAATATTATAATAATTATGACATTTATCTTTATATATATCATTATAATTTTTATAACTTTAGGCACTGAACTTTTGTTTTAATAATAAAAAAAGCACTAAAATTAATAACTAGTAATAATTTGATTATTGCTAATAATTCCTATGTAATTACATTAGAAACTGCATGTTACAGTATATGTAAAATCATAATAAAATTAAATATTAAAGTTTGAAATAGAAAATGATACTGCACTGCATATTATCAAGTAGTTTCTAGTTTATAACTTGACTAATTGACTAATAAGTATTATTTATTATCGAAGAGGCCCATCACTAGGCATGGGTACAATTAATTATAACAATAAGTAAAGTTATATTTTAATTTATTATGTTATATACTAAAAATTTCTTAAAATTCTATTGCTTATTTGATGGTATTTTTGTCATAATTTTGTGAATAATTTGAATATTTACTAAAGCATTGTATTATATTATTTTGATAAATTAGTGAGTATAATAATAGATAGTTTTTATTAACCAATGTATATTTTAAAAATAAAAAATTTAAATTTGTAGATATACATTATATTTACATTATATCTTAATTTTGCATTAATCTAGTTCAAGTAAGTATATTAGATATTATTTTAAGTAACTTAAAGAGAAAATGAAACTTTAATCATATAAATTCTGGATGATTGAAGCCACATTTCTCTTGGTGTCACTAATTTATTACTGTAGTAATCAGTATACTTTAAGAAAGTGCAGTGTTTGCAAATCATTGTTAGGGTCTTTCAAAATTAACTTATTTTTTAGAAGATAAAGATCAATGAATGTCAAATTAAACAGCATGTTTATATAGTTTAAAAAGTAATTAACTACTCCTTAAGCTTATTATACTGCAACTTAATATAATTAAATACTCAGAGTTAGTATTATAGTTTAAAATTAAATTACTATCAGATTTTTGATAATATTAGAACGCTTTGTGCTCATTCTTTTTTTTTTTTTTTTTTGGGTGTTAAGGTGACCTCTATGGCCTGGGGACTTTTTATTAAGTAGATATATAACATATTACAGTTACAACGAGAGTACATATAGCTACACATGCACCTTTTGAGTGCCTAATTTAAGTAGTCCGCCCGAAGGTTCTACACTATCTGCCGTACCTGTACCCCAACTAGGGGGTACCCATTTAAACCCTCTGGTTACAACGCTTTGTGCTCATTCTTTTTAACACCAATTTTTAAATTAATGACCAATAATAATTATTAATCACCCATGACAGAAATATAACATAGTTCGCTTTACTGTTACCAATTTAATCATGAATATAATAGCTACATTGTAGATCTGCAGCTTGAGAATTTACGTCTGCTTTCGCATTAGTAAAAATGTAAAACTATTTAGGAACATGCAAAAACAAGTCTTTTTATTCTAAGATAATCCAAAAACAAACTCTCAGCTATAAGAAATAACCTTGACCGAACAGTAAAAAAAAATTAAGATCTTTCGCTATGAACTTTGATGATCAATGATTACCCTATTCACAAAACCTGCAAATTTACTTTACTTATCTTAATTCTAAAAATTACTTTGTTACTTTAAACAATAGACACTAGCAGAATGTTATCCTATGTTATTCTATGCTATTTGAAACGTTACAGTATTTTAACACATTATTGCAATAGCTTTATAATATTTAGATACAACAGCATTATGGTATTTCAATATAACGGCATAACGCATTGCGGCATTACAGCATTGCGGCATTACGACATTGCGGCATTACGACATACGACATTGCGATATTACGGCAGATAATATTTACGGCAATTAGAAGCTATACCGTGATTAATTCTACCATTGGTAAAATGCCGTAATTCAGTAATTCTACCACCAGCTATACCCTAACCCTATGTTATCTTGGATAAATGAACTTTCAGTGAAATGACTGCTGGTGAAATGAGCAGAACGGCTAAATATGATATGTATAACCAATCAGTATTGGGGTTATCCAATACGTATCTCTAAATCAGGTTTATATTCATCCGTTCCTGATTTAGCGTGACAATGTCGTGCAGCTACTTATTTTTTAACTAGTAAGACTGGCAAAAATTGGAGTAGTTGACTACTAATAAAATAAAAATTATTTAATATAAGTTTGAGCTTGTTGTAGATGATCATACTGGTCTTGCACCATGTCATGTGCTATGCTACCCTCATTTTCATAAGTTCAAGTGAATTAAAAAGTTATTGTCTTATCTAGAGCGTAGCAATGAGTGTACCTTATTTAGATTAAATAATTGATTTATCAAATTCGTACATTTCTATTCTTAACTATCGATGTTTGACAATAAGTAATATTCAAAGATATGATAAAAATTTAAATTCTATTATTGAAAGACTGATTGCAATACCAAAATTTACTCTTGTTAAAAAAATAATTCACTGTGTACTGCATGGTTAATTTGTAATAGTTATATCCTGGGCAGTTGGGTATAAGCGGGACTTTCAGCCCCGCTTATACACATTGTGCCCAGGGTATAACTGATTTATGCCCTGCGATCTTGATATAGTGACCAGGGTATAAAATATAAAACATTCACTTTTGCACAGAATTATATTGATTGTAAAGTAGATTACGTTCATTTGAATTAATAAAATATTTTCTGTTGCTGATTTTTAATTAAATTGTAAGAACATCCAGTGTGTAGGTACAATAATAACATTAGATAAATATATGAATGCCCAACTCATAAATATAAGAAATTCGAAATAAGTAAAGTGTTAAATAGTTAATAGGTCTACTATGTACTTATACACTTTCATTATTTGCAAAAATGAATAATAAAACAAGCACAATCTAAACACTAACAATAAGAAATCCCACCCGAAGTATTATCAATAATCAACATGATGCACAAAAGGAGCCATCTGAGAAGCAGCAACCGGCTCTGTCTTTGCAACAATTTACGTGTGTCTATAAGAGAAAACATTGTAAATAATTAATGATAAATAAAGAAATACTTATGCTATATTGAAAATGAACATACTACAGTGCAGCAGTAAATTCCTCCACCTGGTCTTTTTCCACACGGTGCATCTTGCTAAATTTAAAAAAGAAAATATATAGAAGTTAGAAACGGTTTACATTGACAAATCAAAGTATTGAATCAAATAAGGAATTATGAGCATTACCCCTCCAATACAACTGGAATGTCATTATTAAAATTGATTAGTAAATTAATATATAAATTGAAACACGAGAATAAGGAATTAAAGCATACTGTAGCTCTTCACGTCCTTCCAAAGGAGAGCTTTTAGAAATATCAAGCAAAAAGAAAAAGACCATAAAAACTAAAATGACGTTAATCGCCTTCATGATTTTTTATAAGGGTAAATGCAATTATTAATTTGTTTTTCTTTTCTTTTTTTTTTTTGAAAGATCTTTGTTTTTTGGTTTGTTTTAATAATTCATGCAGAGGCGATAAGTGCCCTTATTTATATGTTCAAAGAAAAATTCTTATGCAGTTTCCATCTCTAATATTTTATGTACTAATGCAATTAACAGATCAAATGAAAACAAATCGGACTAGTGTTAAATCTGACCAAAAAATGCAATCGATTAGTTGGCCAAATACTTTTTTAAAAATCGATTATTGCCGATTAATCGATTAGTCAATTAAGCGATTAATTGACTGTTCAATTAGTTGGTATATCGAAATGGCTTGGATATAATTGCGTAGGCATTAATTACAAGATCGATGTATGATACCACATAAAACTACTAGTCGATTAGTCAACTAATCAATTAACTAGCTAGTCGATCAATCGATTAGTTGCTAATTCGATTAATTAATCAATTAGTAGATTTTTGATTTGGAACACTATCGGGTTCCAACTGGCATCGCATAATCATCGATATGAACATAATTTGAAACAGATATTGGCACAAATAAGAGACCTTTAGAATGCAAATCGGGTTAATATAGGCGTACGGAATGCCAATAGCTCTATTGGTGAATCGATTAAGTTATACATCGCAAAGTTGTTTTTATGTTGAATTATGTAGAATTTTTTGTAGTTATGTAAATTTTTTATGTAGCTTTATAAAGCTAACGTAAATTTACATAATAAATTTATATACATTTATATGTAGAATTATGTAAAATAACAAAAAAATTTTAACTTAACTGTTGAAGCTAAAATTGTATTTTAAAGAATAAATTAGGGGTTTGGGGAAGGTTTTCTAGCATACTGAACATTTTTTTACTTAGTATATCGAACACTGATTACCTTCATTATTTTTGAGAAATAGCAAAATAATTAATTAAAATTATTTAAGTCTAAATTGGGTTTATAAATCTATATAAAAATTTTATATAGCATTTATATAACTTGATATCCTAAAGGTCGCTAAATATCTGATTCACATTATGTTCATTGGAGCTTCATTTGACCTGTGTAACCATTACGAACCTTATCAGGAAAAAGCATTCAGTTTGTTGTGCAGAAATATATTAGCTATTTTCATGTTCATGGGGACTTCGCGATATTTCCCGGATTTCACAAGTTTTAAAGACCTGACCTAATCAGGACTCTAATTTAATAATCTGAATTTCCAAATCCTTTAATTCCCGGATCATGGAAATCATTTTCCCATCTTTCTGAAAACGGATTAGGTTCCCTCTTCAGCTAACAAAATTTCTCATTTAATTTTAAATTATGATATGTCGAAATTTTTAATCTAATGCATTATACATAATTATAATTATAATATAAAATGATGTGGTCTCTAAATACATGCAAAGTTGAAATTAATAAACGAGACTTCGATATCAAGCTTACTTTGGGAATAATACTTTATCAAATGCTAGTCAATAGTCAAAATTTAAAAAAAGCATCCTATGAGAAAATGTAACTGAAATTTTAACAATTTCACAAAATATTTTATTTAAATATCCTCAAAATAATAGCTCTGTGCTAATTTCGAACTTCAATAAGATGCCGAAAATCAATATGTAACTATTTTTTATCCGATGGTTTACGACGATCGGATAATACCTTTATTGAAAGTTACTATTATTGGACCGTATACATTCTATAATATCTATCGGATTATCTCGATTGCGTTAAGTTAAAACATTTCAGGAAAAATCATTCGTTCACTGTAATCTGATATACTTAATCCGGATTTCATCATTCCAACATATGGTTGAATCTTTTCTTACAAAAAAAAAAAATGAAAAGGTATATCTTTTCTGTGTGATACAGGAAAAATCGCTAATCCAAAAGAAAGAGTTATTAAAATTACGCAAAATATCTGTACCAGAGTTTATCGATCATTCTAGATTGATTCTCATTTGCCTAATTTCCCCACCATTTTACTATCGGTGTATTATAAAAAAAATTAATAAGCAGATGCTCCAATATGTGAAAAATTAATAGAACCAATCAAAAGTGGTAAGGAAAATTAGTAGAGGAGGATTTACGTTGACTGTAATCGGCAATATGCAACGAGATATCCTAAATCATAAAATAACGAATCGAAGCACACCGAAATAAATAAACAATTTTGGAAAAGACTATAAAATCAATTATGCCAATTAATTCTTGTAGTCGTTAATGATAAATTACAAATCTATACTACTGATAAAGGGAAATTCGTAAAACAACAAAAAATTACTAATTATTTTCACAAAACCATAAGACTTAAGAATTGCTGTGAAAACAATTGCTACTATCCATTGATAACCACAAAAGACGCTTAACTATTCACATTTCTTTTTCATTCATATTGATTCTCTTTAATTGCGCTTGGATTTATTATTTTTTTAAATTAAACAGATTAATAAAAAAATTAATGAAAAAAATATAATGGGTACAGTGAGACCTCTCTAAATTCACCCTTTTTAGATGAAATATACTCTCTAAATGCATGTTGATTAATAATTTTTTTTAGACTACGCACAAAATTATTTAAAATATAATGAATAGATACTGATGAACTTAAACGTCTTAATACTTTTTATACTTATAATCTAAAATAAAATGTAAACATATGTTGCGCCTCAGATTGGTTCATGCCTAGATGATAAATGAGGTACCTCAGTTGTCAATGGTCAGATGAGGTGCATAACTTCTTATTGTTCAGCGTTATATTAACACTTAAAGAATACTGATACAAGGTTTTGATAAAATAACTAAAGAAAAGAATGTTTATTTGCATATTATTTAAAATATAACACAAAACATAAATCATTGGGTGTTTTTATGATTTAATTCGACCTTGTCAACTCAAGTTTATAACCTGAAGTTGCAAAAGAAAATTTTGTCTACAAATCTTCATTTTACGATCAATGGCATATTTATGACTAGTAGGCTGTTAAAATTAGTTGATTAATGTTCATTCACGCCTGACACCGGATCGAAAGTTATGCGAATCTTAAATTTCAATATATTTTACTGACTAATTGATGCGCAAATGATTATAATTATATATAAAAATTTTAATCTTTAACGCGTCTGTCTGTGGCGTAATTATTTTATACAGTATTTGTTCTGTATCATGTTCGATAGTTGTCTAATTTATGTATCAAATTGAAATGCATGTCATGAATATAAAAACGAAGACAAAACAGACAAAACAATAAAACATTATATCGGTTGCATTTTTTACAATAACATATGTTATTTCAATTTAACAATGATAGAGATTCGTTTAGTTCTCACACAGAAAGTCTATCACTAAAAGAAAAATCAATAAAGTAGCGAAAAATTTTTTAATTAATAAATATTGTATTATACTGCATCAGCGCATGTAAGGATAGGAATCATATAGTCATTAGACTAAATTTTTTCATAATCAATCGATCGACTAGTGACTAATCGACTAATCGACTAGTTGACTAATTGACTAATCGACTGATCGACTAGTTGAAGGTCGAATAATTAACTAATAATAATAATAGTTAGGCCGTTTGAAGTTAGTTTTTCGGTTAACATCACCCTCCCCCTCCCTTTGATACCCCCGGTAAAATGAACATATAAAAAAAGTAAAATTAAAAAAATACCGTATAACCACGAAATAGCGCGATGGGGTTGGTTTCTAATTTCGGCCTAAATTAAGCCGAAATTCGAAATAACTCCCTATGCGCTATTTCGTGATTATACGGCAAATATAAAATAAAAAACTAATTTAAAATAAAATAAATTAATTTTAAATAAAATAAAATAAATTAATTTTAAATAAAAAAAAATAATTTAAAATAAAATAAATAATTTAAAAAATAAAAAAACGAGAAAAAAAAAATAATAAAAAATAAAGCCAATTATTCGAATTGATACTATTTTTAAGCCATCCGATCAGTGATTATTTCATTCAATGAGGGTATTCGATCTGTGATCGCTGCATACATACCATACGTACTTTAAAAAATGAGATCACTAGATCACGAGAGTTTTGGCTGTAAAAATTGTATGTACGAAATTCTTTTCTCAGATGAATGCATTATATGTATAATTAATTAATTATTTATTTATTTATTTTTGCTCCTCTCTTTTATAATAGGAATGTAATGTTAACTACTGAATCAAATTTGTCTGAACTCAACTAAAATCTCTAGACTAAATTTAACTTGAAGTCAATTCATTATAATAGATTTACTACATTAAAAATAGTTTGTTCATTTTATATGTTCGTTTCATTTTCCCCCTCCCCCTCTTCCGAGAATCCTGGAAAGTGATGTTAACCGAAAAATTAGCTTCAAACGGCCTTATTATACATAATTAATCTAAGGTTAATAGACAAATTAAATTGGTTACCTATTTTTTATATTATATCTAAATAACAGATTAGTTGATTATTCGGATTAGTCGACTAGTCAAATCGATTAATCAACTAGTCGATTAGCCAATTAATCGATTATTCGACTAGTATAGTTGACTAATCGACTAATCGATTATTCGATTATTCAACTAATCGATTATTCGATTATTCAACTATTCGATTATTCGATTATTCAACTAATCGATTAATCGACTAGCGATTAGTGGATTTTTAGTCAGTCAACGACTAACGGATTTAGTCGACTGACTAATCGACTAAAAATTTCTGCGCGGTTTCTATGTTTCTATTCATTGTTGAGTTAAAGACTAATATAAAGTACCATATTGAATAATTAATATTGCATATGTGAATTGTGCGAATCGGATATATTATTAAAAGACTAATATAGCGATTGACATATCGGCAAAAATAAAAGATTCTTTATGAAATTTTAATATAAAGCACAAACATCCATAATAAAAATACTTTAAAGTGTGTTAGAATGATTTTATGATATGAATTTTCTCAACTTAAAATTAATCATAAAGAGCTGT